CCTACCCACTGAGCCACAGGCGCCACCCAACTTCAGCAATCTTATGTAAAGGGTGGTCTCTCTTTCTCTCTCAAAATACTGTAATATTTTCAGTCTGTGGTTGACTTCCAGTAACTGAAACTATGGAAAGTGAAACTGCAGATAGGGAGGGTTTCTAGAATTCTGTTAACTTTGTTAGCAGATTTTCACTTGTAAGTATTCTGCTGACTGTAAGCCTTTAAGTCAAAATGTAATTTATGAATTTATTATATTTAGTGTATTATTGTATTATGTTTATCTGTGATAGAAACTTTTAAAATCCTGTTTTTCAAATTGTAGAACTTAAAATTCTGTTTTTCCAATTGTAGAACGTATCCTGCACTAGAGACATTAACAGAACCTCACCAGCTCACAGCCACTCTCAGTTGTGTAATTGGAGTAGCCCGCAGTTTGGTGTCAGGGGGCCGGTGGTTTCCGGAAGGTCCAACACACATGCTACCTCTGTTGATGAGAGCATTGCCTGGGGTGGATCCAAATGACTTCAGCAAATGCATGGTAAGCATATTGAGCTAAAAAAAAAATTTAAGTTGTAATTTTGTAAATGGACGTTTTAGAATTTCTGTTTAGATTTTTAGAAAATATTAATAGTTTAGTGTAAAATCTGTTAATGGTAACAGCAATTATATCTAAGATGCCTAAGTTTTAAATCTGTAGACAGTTGATGCACCTTTCTTTATAAGTAATTTGCCGTAATCTATATACATTTAATGATTGCATGATGTTTTAAAGCTTATGACATATTATTTTTATTAAAGAGGGGTAGTAAAAATCATAGCGTCTATGATCATTATACTTCTTCTATCTACGCTGATGACAGGGAGCTGTGATGAAAGTTATGAATAATTGATTGACCACTCTGATTTACCACTCTGCTCATCTTCTTTTTCTCTGGTCTCTAGCTTCTGCATTAGCATTTTTTATTTATGCTTAGTTAATGTGACTTTTTAGGTGGGAGGCAAATAATTTCTCAGTGACACAAATTTTGCTTGAACCTAAGAAATATCCATACGAAAACAAATTTAGTGTATCATCATTGCAAAAGCAAGAGCCAGTTAATCATGAGGCAGCTATATTCAGTTTTAAGTGAAGAATGTCCAGATAAATTGTTAATGCGATCTCCCTTTATGATAATTTATGTGGATAATTTCTTGTCATTTACGGTATATTTGTATTTTCAAATTGGAATTCTGTAACTAATGTCGAAAATACTTGGCATCTTCCCGCAGATCACATTCCAGTTTATAGCAACATTTTCTACTCTGGTGCCTTTAGTAGATTGTTCATCTGTGCTGCAAGAAAGAAACGACCTCACAGAAGTAAGGAAGTTGCCTGGCTTAACCAGTTTCTGATTCTTACTGCATATGCATAGTAATATTTGATAGTTTACAAACAACTTTAGATAGGCTTTATGAAATAAAATTTCTGTTTTATGGCTAGAAAAGTATGATAAAGGGCCAGGCCATCATTGGCAAGAGAGTCTTCAGAGCACCCATCATAGGAGGTGGCTCAAAAATAGGCCCTTTCTATACCTCACCAACATCTGGAGGTATTTTTAAATTTTCTGTCACTTTTCAGTGTTTTATTGAGCAAAAGTCATGGTAGTTTATTTTTCTATCACCTCCTGTTAGTAATAAATCTTTCTAGGAGATTGGCATCTAATGCGGAGATACTCTCCTTGTTAGTATCTCACTCTTTTAGAGCTCTTTTCTTTATACCAAGCATGCTGTTGCTTGACTGTTATTTAGATCTTCACGTAATCAGAGACTATCCAGTACATTTACAGCAGCAGTTTGAAAACTATAACTTAGAATAAAGATGCTGCTTGACTTATGTTTTTGGCCCTTATAAATATGTTAGTTATTTCTTATTTTTATTCATAGAAAGTAGTAGATTGAGTTGTTCTAAATTGATAATACATGTATGATTATAGCACTGTTTCTCAAATACCCAACATAATAATTTACTGTTAGATCTATTTGGCAGGCAATAATTGAGTTTGTTAGTTCAAAGGAAAAACCAAGGGTTATTTGTAATTTTTCTCCACATCGGGATTTTACAGGTAGAACGAGAACTTTGTTCTGCTACAGCTGAATTTGAGGATTTTGTCTTACAGTTTATGGACAGGTGAGCTTCTAGCCCAGACCCAGACTTAGCTGATATTGTATAAAAAGACTGTCGCATCCCAGAACCTTCGTTTCTCTCTGCATTGTAACCTTTATTCAGCTATTACTGCTCCTTCTGAAGTTACAAAAGGATAAATGATTCGTGAGCTATGTACAAATTGAGTGGCTGTCACTTGAATTATCAAGACCAGGCATCTTCAAACTACAGCCCACAGGCCACATGCGGCCCACCTAGGACATTTATCCAGCCTGCGAAGTGTTTTTGCCGCCACTGCCGGTCCTGCTTAGCAGTTGACTCATCCTGGGGACCATAGTCCAGCCCTCTAGCAGTCTGAGAGACAGTGAACTGGCCCCCTATTTAAAAAGTTTGAGGACCCCTGGTCAAGACAGTAGAGACTTAGTCTAATCACCACCACCAAAAAAAAAATAAAAATGTTAAGCCAGTTTTTAATTGCTAAAATTATGCTTTGTTTGGTTTATTTAGATGCTTTGGACTTATAGAAAGTAGTACATTGGAGCAAACAAGGGAAGAGACAGAAACTGAGAAAATGACTCACTTGGAAAGTTTGGTCGAATTAGGTCTATCTTCTACATTTAGTACAATTCTCACCCAGTGTTCCAAAGAAATATTTATGGTAAGAGCATTGCTGTAAAAGTAAACTTCTAGTTTTTTAGTTATATTTGATGTCTTAAAATTGAACTTCAAGTTCCTTTATGTGTGTATGTCATGCCAGTTTATCTTTTCTATCCATATTTTTTTAGCTTATGGTAAATCATTTTAAAATTGAAACTCTGAGGTATTTTATTATTAAAAAGTTGGTGCCGGCCAAGGTGGGTGAATCGTGCTCAGACCAGCCTGAGCAAGAGTGAGACCCTGTCTCTAAAATATAGCTGGGCGTTGTGGCAGACGTTTGTAGTCCGAGCTACTCAGGAGGCTGAGACAAGAGAATCGCTCAAGCCCAAGAGTTTGAGGTTGCTGTGAGCTGTGACACCACAGCACTCTTCCAAAAAGAGAGACTATGTCTAAAAAAAAAAAAAACAGCACTCAAATACATAAACTAATATGAACTTAAAATTGATCATAAATTTTTACTACCTTTTTTAGCTTGACCTTTCTAGTATATCTGTAGCTTCATTGATTTTGGCTGTTGTATAAGGAGAGCTTCCTTTGTCTGGGGATTTAAGAGTGTAACTCATTGACAAGCATCTTATTTTTCCTTTATTGGCAGTAGGGCTTACACCTAGTATTACTACTGCTTCCTGTTTTGTCATTTGGGGTTCAAAGCCCTCTGTTAATAGCTACCACTAACAGCAGATTTGGGTAGGCTTTGAAAAACTTGTTTTACTTGAGGCTACATATGCTTCATGGCTTGCAAAACATAATGGCCTGCAGATCCTGCAACAGCATTGGTTAGTCCAGCTGCTACCGCTATACTGGCCATGGCTTCAGCTCAGCTCCCCTGCCTCCACAAGGAGCACAGATCATCCCAGCCAAAAGTGCCTCCACCAGGAGCACGGATCATCCCAGCCAAAAGTGCCTCCACCAGGAGCA